TATGGAATATTACTACTACATGTCATGCGAGTTGCATTTTTTCAAATTGACCTCTGAAAATAGGCTTATCTGAATTTCAAGAAGTTTACAGAGAAAAACTGTTTTTATTCTATTTTTACATAAATGTGTCTCGAATTTATACGAAATACCTGTGATAATTATCATAAGAAAAATTCAACACCGACGAAACTATTTATATCCATATCTTCATCATGCTTCTGACCATCAATTACGAATTATATCGGCAAACATAAGAATTTCTTCAGAAAATATTTATCCCTCTTAACCTTTTATTTACTACTAGGTAGGTAGGAGGTAAAGATATTGGATGGAAATTAATGAATGATTGTTGTATCTATATATATCAACAATACTGGAATTTTCTGGTGGAAATTTAATATTACAGAGACAGTGAGTAGGTATATACATCGCTCAAAACCTGGTTCAGTGCTACTCGAAGCCGTATTTCAGCACTGGAGTATATACAACCGATTTCGGTGCTTGATTTTAATGATTATAATCATTAGAAGCGCTTAGAACCCCTGCTCCCATAGATAAGTCGATGAAAACAAAGTTAGCTATCGAATAGCAATGTCTCGGATCTTTGCAAAAGAAATTGCCTTTTAGCTCCAAAAATCTTCAAGATCAACTCCTGCTTGGAATGTATCTTTCAAGTTACTATCGTGTTGCATTTCAATCACTTCTTCGATTCCATCAGGCATCTCAGAAACATTGACCATGAACGGATTGCAGATCCTCGTTGCCAGGAAAATAGCGATCGAATTCATTAATGTTATTCTTTCGTTTTTATCCATTGATCTCAGCACACTATCCGTTAATGTATGATCCAGCTTATCAAACGCAGAAGAGTTCTCTCTTTCGACTTTCATGATCCTTATATAGTTCGATTATTGCGATAAATGCAGCGATTATATGCAAATATAATGCTCGTGCCTTGCAACTTCGTATTGCCTGACCCATGCAGCATGCAGTTGAAGATTCAATTTACTTATAGTTAATCGGAAAAATCAAACGAAATTAGCGAATCGTATTTCAAATTGGGAATCGCAGATCCGATCCAGCAACCATGTGTTTATTCTTCCTCTCTCTTCTCTCAGGTCTCATCCCGACGACGGCTTCGTCCACTTGTAACTATTGTCACTTATTCAATATTTTTCTGATGGCTTCGCAGACCTCTTGGAGTGCTTGCAGGGACCACCATTGGTCCGCGGATCATCGGTTGAGAACCATAATTTTTTTAAGCAAAACTTAACGCCCAAGTAGAGTCTCCAAATGAATTATTATTGACAGTTTTCCCCATTTAATAATGATGCCAACTTCATGGGAGACACTGGTATATCTCATCAGGTCGTCTATAGACTCTATATATAGACCCTTGAAGATATTATATCCAGAATTCAGATATCTGCCATTTGATCCATTGGTCTCTTTTCCCTCTGCAGATCTTACATTCAGAAGTCAAAACTCCTAGGTATTTTCCATGATGAAAATCTCATTGAAGTATGAATATTCCTTTACATCCGTTGTGGTTCTCGATGTTCCATGTCGTCTTTTGTCAACGTATCCAAGTGAATAATTGCCAGATTAAGCTTCCTTCGGAATGAGTTCCAGTGCCAACAGGTCTTTGGACTATATACCTATATACTGTCTGATAACTGCCTAGCTCGGTTTGCAGGAGGTAAGGCGTTACCTGTCTTCAATTCAATAAGCATTAGCCAGGATAATGGATGTTTCACTATCGTCCTCGGTTCATTAAATATTTTGTGGAAAACTATTCAAAATGTATTGGCCTGTCATATATACAGGCGGCATTGTCAACATTCCTGGGCTACCCCCTCATCTATATATAAGTATCTATGGTGGAATATCAAATGAGCAATATTCTCTCGTGATGCGAGCAAAGTGTGTCGTATGTACCCTCGTCCCAATATTCGTTTCTATGCCAAGGACATCCGATTAGGGATGAAGTCCCCCGTTGAACTAGGGCAGCCCTCTCAGCCCTTCGAGTTAACTGGATGTCATTTCGTTCCGCAATTAGTCCGAAGAAATAGGCAATGACGAAGAATAAGAAATTTGGAGTCATAATTTTTCCAGTGGGTAAACCGTCTCATATTTTTATGATGGTGTTAATTTATAGGTATGGTTAATAATGTTTATTGTGATTATATTCATCGCAAGCATATACTGAGTCTTTATATCACGGTATCACGCTTATATGCTTGGGTCATTTATTCATATCCGATATTCATTCAGAAATGGTGAGGTATAGACATCTTATATTGTGACCAATAAGTGACCATAATATGTATTTCCACTATCATTTCAGTTAATGTAGAGGCTCGTGTAGAGGAGACGTTGTTATTCAAGATGGAATTAATTGCTCATTATTTGAGCATGTGCTTGGTCGTCTCTGATAGTAAATTTCGCAAATGCATCAGGATCTCTGATTATGATTGACATTTCATTCGGTATGGGTTAATGATATATACATTTATGTTAAAAACATTACTCGAAAACACAATCGCATGTGTTTGCATTTGTAATTTTCTGTATAGTGATGTCCTCCAGATGAAGTATACCTACATAAATGAGAAAAAGTTCATAATTTCGTATTGAAGTATGGAAGGAAAACAATTCTGTATACTCATAGACTGACCAGTCGTCTTGTCATGCAGAATCAAGCTGAAAATGTGTTTGATTTCTTTAGAGCAACCTTTCATCTGTCATTAAGATTTATACTTCGTTCAAGCCATGTATATGAGTTTTTTGGACTAAACGACAAACAAACCATATTATTATATTGATAATAACTATGGTGTGTCTAATGACTGAGGAAATGTATCGGTAATCAGGTATATACCTTATATATCTACTTGCAGTTGCAGTAAAGTAGGCCTGTATAAGTGTATATATATCTATATAAGAATAAGTTTCTGTCTTGGAATAATTATGATTCCCAGGAAGCTCTGAATTGTAATCACTATATATTTCACATCATCCACCATGGAGGGATCACTGGAGTTTGTCCTTTTTCCATGCATATAGGTGGAAAGCTGAGCTTCGAAGCGTAGCAGTCGTGGAACCAATATAGAACTTTTGCATAGTTCTTATTCCTATACTCAATAGGTAAACTCATTGCTTCTCCACAAATATAGGCAAAGATATTCACCTAGTTCAAAAGTCATACATTTTGTGATAACATAACCTTTTGCGTCAATCGGTATATACCTGATGCATCAGATATATCAAAGTTCCCATCATCAGGAATAAAGAGAATATCATCATGCATGGAAATATACCTCAGAAAAGTGATCGTTGTTGAGTTAGATACACTCATCAAAGTTTCTGCCATCCTCACAATACATTTTAACCGGGATTTTAACTGTTCCACAGCAGAATTTATTGTCTTGCTTTACTTCTTTGCTGATAATTTTCATCAATCGGAGTTTATTTTGCTTCATTTGTAAGAAATTACTCTTTCGGCATGATGATGCCTCATACCCATCATCAATCGACACTTTGATGCTTTACTCAAATTCTTCTGGCTACGATCAGTAAGCATCGCAGACTTGGTGCTATTATATGGTTTGACGATTATTTTTATGGGTGATACCGTCAAATGAAGACTTCGAGACATTTCAGAAATATATCTCATCCTCGTATCTCACAAGTCGAAACTCACGATCATTTCAAGAATTTCTATAGATATACCATCGAATTGTTCAAATTCGCAGTTACAGAGTTCTTGTACCCTTCCAAGGTACCAATATCGTTCTTGAGTGTTCATTTATTATGCATACTATAGTGCATATACCTTGCTTATATCCTTGAAGTTGTCTTCTATAATGGGTATGAATCCATAATATGGAGCAGGATTTCATGATACTCTACAACTATTTATCAGTTGCCTTTTTGATGATAGGTATCTATAGGTACCGATAGTTCCGATACGCCTATAGTGCATGCCTTGTGAATTCAAGAATTACTGCCAAGCCCAGCCATTTTTTGAAGCTGATTCATTTATTGGTTTTAGGCAAAGCAGGGACATGAAAATGATTAGGAATCTCCAGTTTTTTAAATTATATCCTTCAATGAACACTTATAGATGATCTTTGATTGTTTGCAAATGAATAATATACCTACCTATACCTACTTATAACTATATAACTGTTGTCTTACAATCACGCACCATACTTATTTTGTGAATATTCTCAATCTCATTGCCTGTTAATTCATCATGAATATGATCAAGACCACCAATCAACCCATTCATACAAGATGTTTGGTGAACTATGGAACATACTGTAGTTAGTGAAGAAAAAATTGATAATCCATCAGAAAATCATAACCCTTGACCTCAGTAACACCTCAGGCTTCACGAGATTTTGGAACCTTTATAAGGAAAAAAATGAATTCCTGTCAGATCATTCTTGTATTTTCCAAGCAATTAATGAGGAGTGATTCTTGACAATTCTGATCTTCGATAATTATACTGGAAAGTATAGATTTAGGTACAGGTACCTATTAGGCAAATATGAGAGTTGTAAGTTGTAGGTATAAATAATCGGCAGGAGGCAGATTTTCGTAGACAATCACTTTTTCACGATCATGGGTACTCAGGAATTAACAAGACGTTCTTCATTAGCATGGAACATGATGGAAAGAATGATCTGAGAAATAGGAATTCATTTTTTTTTGAATCTATATACAAAAGGTCCAATGCTCCGAAAACCATGAGTATCAGTGAGGTGAAGTTGTGGTTGTCTCATAGGTTATGAACTTGTTCTATCACCAGCTATAGAGTATGACCCACATCATGGTTTATCAGACACCTTGGTTTATACATGTACCATTCCGACATTGTAGTTATCATCACAAAATAAGAACACCTAGGAACACAATACACTGGACATAGCGGACGTATGGAATCCTTCAAAAGCAACCAAAACACAATAAGCAGAGATAATAAGATGACATGCCCTGGTTCGAGGAGAGGAGTCTGTTTGTAGGAAACACACAGATCCGCCGGTACGAACCAGGAGTGCGTGAAGGCCGGATTCAGGTTGACTCCCAATCCCAGGCCGGGCTGGTGCCGCTGGAAGCCGGAGGACACCGCGTAGTCCATGGCCACCGCCTGGTAAGGCAGCATGCCGACACAGAATCACTGCGCGCGGTACGTGACGCTGAATCACTGAGCGCGGTGATCGGGATCGTACGCCTACGCGCGGGACGTGACGTTCGCGGTGCAGCTTCGACGGACTACTGGTGACTAATGGGCTCCGGTAGCGAGTGGAGAGCCGGCGGTGGGCGTGTGCGGGTGGCGGTGATTGGTCGGCGCGCTTTCGGTGCAACGCTATTCGCCGGCTCGAACGCCCACTGTTCGGCGCCGCGGCTGCGGCATCAACAAGTAGCCGATACTCCTTCCTGCGTGAATGCGAAACCTGTACGCCGCCGCCGCGTGTGATCTATGGTTTTGGTGCGTATGTTGTGGGTGTTGTGGGTGGGTGGAAGCGGTGTCGAAATAGGAGTTGATGGAACCGTTTTCGCCTTCTGTAAATGATTTTTCGAGGATTGAGTCGTATACGATGTGATTCACGATGATATTATACGCGGTAATGGGGGAGAATTTTTTCATTCATGCTAAGACGATGAAAAAAATGAATTAGAATATGTCCATTTCAAAACACATAATCCTTGCGCCATTTGAAGTTATGTCAATTCATTGGTGAGACTGGTGTGACGTCTTAGTCCCAACACGCCTATTGTCCTTGAATTCACCAATCACACTGCAACACTGTAGAATGACGAGGTATCAGAGAAAGATAGCCACAGTGCGGGACTAATACGTCACGGCTCCACCATCATATTTGGCTTTTCGAAATAACTAATGAAATATGCTGATTTCAAAACAATATAGAGTCGATTCCGTTCAACTTCAACTCATAATATTGATTATAGATCAAACGTAAATCATGATTCGTCGATTGAAAGAGGTTCGCACAGATTTCTTCCCTCAGTGGTCTTCCCCATTCTATACCATACTGGAACATCGAAAGAATATTTTTCTTGAATCCAGCAATCTGTTTCTAGGTAGGTATGATAGATTCGACCGACAGGAAATAAAATCACTGTTTCACCACTAATAAACCAAACTGATTTCTAAAACACCTCGACACTTGTCATATATATAGGTAGTCCATCAGTCTTTGCATGACCTATATATTATAACAGCAACGCTGCAGTGGTTCAGAGTCACATAAGAATAACATATCACTCCGCAGTGAATCATGATTGGAATAATATTGGTGACTTACTGCCAATATTGGCGAAGCGGCGAAGCAGTATATAGGTACCACATATAATTTTCACATGATGTATATAATCTTTCGTACAAACTTCTTATCTCATATATATCTTTCAGTATCCATGCATATAGCATTTTGATAAATTTCGATACAGAGTCCGAAGTTCGTGCTTCAGGATTTCGAATCCCTTCAACCTTGGGGGGATATCGGTAGATCGCCATTTTCCACTGCTAGAGGTGGTGGCCATCATCGGCTGATCATTAGATATTAGTATATATATAGGTAATAATGTGTGGTTCAGGCTTTTGGATAGTAGATTTCCAACTCTGAAATATTCATATGGTGATATGAGATATACATTTTGCCACTGGTGTCTATAAACAGAAATCGAAAATAACACATAAGAACACAACCCACTATACCGCGGCCTCTAGACTTGGCCAACCAAAAGACTGGTGAATGAGATAGCATCCAAGCGTCGAGCCGTTAACGTCTCAATTACTCATGGACTTTTTTTCGATTCGTTGATCGCTTCGTATGATAGCGAACGTTCAACATGGCATCATATAGTACCTATATAAGAACTATTGAATTATGGTAATAAGGACAAAAATACCAATGTATTGGTTACAACAGAACCAAAAGAGGGCAATCAGTATAATATGCAAAATGAAAAGGCGTGATACCTATATACATGTAAGAATAACTTTACAAGTCTGAGATTATATATGGATATATATCCAAAGAAAAAAAACAAAATAATTAACACTAAGTCCGTCGACCACAAGATTTGTGTTGGTGTTATTTTGTTTTTTTCTTTGAAAAAATTTGGACAACTTTGAGAAGGATGGATGGTTTCCACGACTTGAATTGATAAGTATAAGTATGATAGCAATAACGACTTTTCTGAAAGGGCACAACGCTTTCAAGAACCTATTTCTATGAATTAGATTAGATTATATCTCTATATTATTTGTATATATGTCATTTTATTATCTCGTTGATGTAAATTTTGAGAATTCTCTACTTATGCTGCGAAAGAGCATCACGGACACATTCACTATAATTATATTAAGTTTTCCCTTGTGAGAGATTTCATTACTCATACTCATCAACATATCGCAAGTCTTGTATGAATCTCGGAGCCTCTGTAGAATATTGGGATCTATTATTGATACACTGTGGAAAATTCCTCTGAGTGAATGAATATGTATGGTTGTGAGTGAATTTACTGATTGAAATTTTTGAGTGAATTCTCAACTCAAACTAGATATTCCATCGAGGTCTCATAACCTTGAGAATGTTTATAACAAATTTGATTGAATCGTATCATGAATTACCATTTTACATGCACGCAGTCAAGTAGGGTAAAATTCCAACTCAATCGGGCGTGGACCGAAATTGACTCATTATTGCGTGGACATTGAGTGAAATTTCACTCAATTATTTTTTCAGTGTATACATATTCTCGCAGAAACTTTATTTCAACACGAGAAAATCTTTCGAACTAGAAAGAAATTCCACAGAATTTCCAAAATTGATAGATTTCTCCAATTTTCTAGATAAACGCTGTTCAGCATTGGAAAATCTGTCATTTCAATCTCCGGCGGAGACTAAGTTCAAAATGTAGGTCACTCAAATACAGACGTCACCATGCACTTATTGTAAAGCTGCAAATCACTCTTTATTCAAATGTTTCATGTTCAAAAACCTTCCACATGATCATAAAAAACAGTTTGTGAATTCTAATAAGCTTTGCTATAATTATTGTCTTGGTTCTTTCTTATAACTATGATGAATGTGCATCACAAGGATGTTTCACATGCAACAGAAAACATCACACTCCGTTCAGATAAAAATGATCATATATTCACAAAACGTCAAGTTCTATCTCTTGTGGCTCAAATGTACGATCCATTAGGATTCATAAATCAAATAAATTAAAATGGGATGATGAAGTACCACCAGATTTAAATATTGAGTGGAAAGAATATATCACAACGATTTCTCATAACGTCAAAGTCAAAAATCTCTCGAACTTCACTCAGTCAGGTCAATATTACATGACTCCAGTGATACGAGCCTGAAAGCATTTTCGTGCGCACCCTATATAACGATGATACAGTGTCATGTATGTTGGTCACTTGAGAATCACTATTGATTAAAGTAATATCTGAGATATTGAACATGCACATTCCGAAATGAAATCACGTATCTATGGTGTGATTCACAAATTGTGCTATCTTGGATAAAATCGGTTCCATCAGAATCAATAACATCATTTGTAAGTGACAAAGTCGCAGAAATTCAGAAACTTAGAACACCTCACACTTGGCAGTACCTACATCATATCAGCTGACAATGCTGCTGATTGTTCATATAATTTGTGGTGACCCATACCCACATTCTTACACATATTAAATGACACTGATTTCAAAAATTTTGATTCTAATGTCACAGTTGATAAACTCCCTGATTTGAAGAAAATAGTGAGTGCTACGGTCACGACAAATACTTACTTCATAATTATATATGTATTGGGAAATCATTTTTGGAAAAGCACTGAAGAGCTATAGTGCGTTGTAAGCGAGTGAAACAGAAAAATGTTTCCAAAAATGTTTGAGATTTATTAACAACACTATTCCGAGGCGACTTAAAAGTATATGGTTCCTTGATAGTGAATGAATTGCAGGAATCACTGAATTTCATGCCATTTTTATAAAACAAATACTTCCATACAGAAATTTCAGGATTGAATTCGGAGAAATAATTGACAAATACAAAATTAATATCACTCAAGCCATTTCTCGTTGTGGCTGGGTTTTCAACAGTCTATGAAAGATTATCAAATGCTGACATCCCTTAAGATCAAAAGCACCAGAAACTACTCCTTCAAAAGTTGCACAGTTGATTTATTATTACGTGAAGAACATTTGCGTTTGTACCATCATGCTGGTGCACGCAAATCACGCAGGCAAACAAGTACACGGTCTTGTTCTGACAAAAAAAATGATTGAAAAGGAACATTCTCAGATGAACACAAAAAATGGATATTTATTAAAATAAAAAATGTATTTTTTAATTCATTCGAGACTGTTCAAGTGGTAAAAGACAACGAAATGTTGACAATCCATTTCTGAGTTTTCTGCAAAACGTCCCATCGACTTTTTGCTACTGTTCCCCAAGCAATAAATAACATTGCTAGAATGTAATTCAGCTAGAGGTTTATAAAGCGTTAATAGTCTATTCACGTTGGGTATTTTCTTGTAGGTTCGAGATTTGAAGATTATGCAACGAAGTTTCATTTTAAGGAATCTATATGTTGGTCGGTCCCACTCCGAAAGTGGATGTAGGACCATTCCAAGATATTTGGTTGAGGAAGTTGTATTTATTCCCTGATTTTCAATATTTAGTTTATTAGAGTTGGACAGAGTTAATTTATCAGAAATAAAGTGCATGAAGACTGTTCTATCCCAGTTTATGGATAGTTTTTTAGGAGCGAAAGATTCAGGAAATTTCTCAGGATCCCTTTCCGCAACTTCCTTCAGCCCATCAGTCCAGCTCTCCCCTTTATAGAACACCCCCCTTCCATTCTCCATAGCGTCGGCAAAACCAACTACACCCGCACTAGTTGAAATATCGAAGATATATAGATGTAGATGGTGAGAAGTAAGGGACCCAGAACAACACCTTGCAGGACGCCACACGTGACCGTTCTTAAACTATTTAGATTACCATCTACCTCAACGCATTGTTTCCTTTTCGAAA